GGAAGGGGGAGGGGAGGAAGGGGGAGGGGAGGGAGGGGGGGGAGGAGAGGGAATGGAGGGGCAGGAGGTGGAGTCCAGGCCTGAAATGCAGTAGATCAAATTCCTTGCATATATGATTACGTCAAAATGAACCCAACTGTTGTGGGTAACTATAATGCACTAATAAAAGCATAAAGAAAGAGAGAGTGGCTCTGTTATTTAAGGAGCACCAACAAGTCATTCAATTCAATCATTGCTTCTTGTGTCCCTACTAAGTGCAAGACAATCTGCTCCGTACTTTGGAACAAAGATATAGTCCTCATTCCCCCAGAGGCCAATTATGTAGTGAGGGATTTGTACTAGTGAGCACATTTTTTTTTTGTCTGTAAACTGCAGAAACTCGCTGGCATTAGCTTGAGAAAATGGGGGGCTTGGTAGAAGGATGTGGCAAACATTTTAAGGATCTGTGAGGCCAGGCACCATGAGGACTCGACAAAGAACTAGAATTAGGAAAGAAAAAGCCATCAGGAGTTTTGACAGTTGTTCCATTTTTCATCTTCTCCTCTTTTCATATTTTTTAGTTGGAAGAAATTGTTTTGCCTTTTCTACTCTTTGATCTTCAAGATGGGAGCGAGATGTTGAGTCTTTGTGTCATTTCTATTCAAGGAACCTAACCCGACTAAAAATGAGAAGAAGTTTTCGTTTCCTGTCCAAGTTTCCAGAAGAGACAATCTGATTGGCAGCCTGTGTACAGTCAGTGGTGGTGCTCAAGATGAAGGGTGACCAGCACAACATGGCCCCTGGGACCAGCCCCGGTGGGTGAGTTGGGGAAGGACGGTAAAATCCTTATATGACAAAGAGACAAACACAGATATATGTCTCTGGCTGATGAGAGGGTATCTCGAACTTGGGTATTTTATTGAAAATCACAAAAGTGACCAACAGAACCAAAAATATCCTATGACTATATTTGGAGAAGAGGAGAGATTGGCGTAAGTTAAACTTAGACAAAAATCATTACTCTTGATGGCTCTTGGGGAAAAGGACCAGGTGGGGCCAGGATATCTGTTTTTCATTTAAAGTCTTTTCTATCCTATTTGATTTCTAATCTTGTGCATGTATACTTTGATAAATGTTTAAAGTTAATTAAAAAACAAATAAATGTCCACAGTAAGCCGCAGGTCAACCGTCCATGTCTCTCAGCCACCTTCTGCTTTATCAATACAAAAATTCCAGCTGTTTCCTGTGACTCATCCATTTCTTTCCTGTGCCTGGAATGCTCTTCCCTGAGATATCCTTTTAATTAAAATTTTTTTTTAATTTTGGAATAATTTTGAATCGACATAGAAATTTTTGCCATTAGAAGATATTCTCACATATTGATCCCTCACTTCATTCAACTTAAATGTCACCTTCTTAGAGAATCTTCCTTTCATTGCTCTAAAATATCACCCCACACTGTCTGAAATA